GCAGGCAGGTTGCCTTGCGTGCTCCGTAGGACGAATGATACGACATGATTGACAATACAATCTTCGCGAGTGACAGTCCATCCAAACCTGGGAACATGATTCCGTGCCCCACGATAAGTCGACTGTCCCTCGTATCGAACACGCGAGCGCTAGCCCAACTTGGAGCTCTTACACTCAGGACCACTCGGGTATCACTCGGAGCAGCCAAACGAAAGCTTACTCCTCTCTCCCTTCATCGCCCAAAGTACGAGTAAGTTTAGGAGATTACGGAGGTCCGGATCGGCAGTTCTATGGGGGCGGAGCTGCCCTCCGCCACCTGACCCGGAAACGCGGATTGTGCTCTTGCACTCTTGTGGGGAGGGGGGAGGAAATAATGAGTTCGCTGGCTCCCACGAAACTTTAATTGCTCTGACAGTATCAGCGCATCACTCATGGCGTCCTTTGCACTTTATCGTGCTGCACGATTGCCCGTCCGTCCGTTTGTCGAGCGGGTAAGTTTAGCCTTGTGCCATGGTGACATTGCCGGTGCGGATGTGTTGGGGAACATACATTAATTTGTACTAGTACAGCGTCACTGTGATCACGGGTTCACGGCATTTGAAGTGCACCACCTTGGACTGGGATTCCGGTACGAGGCCAGACGTTCTCCGGGGGCGTTGCTCAAATCTTGTGTGCGGTGACCCCATGCAGGTTCGCACTAGTGTGCGTATGTGCAAAGTACTGCGCTTGGAATTGGCTACTGATCGATGCTGCGAGCTTTCTACTAATCAGAGTTCTATATCGATATCACACCTTCTCTGTAGGAAGAGTAGGGCTTCCTTTCTTGTGGCATGATTGCTACCTCGCTGATCTCTCCTGGCCTAAATTTACTCAGTTACGGAGTTTCTCTGCGGGGGAGGGGGGCTGTTGGGGGCACACGCAATCAATGCTGATTCTCTAAGAACTGCGATAGCCGCCGCATGAGCCCATGTACGTAACTCGGGCATCCCCGGCTCCCCGGGGGGGGGGAGTCAGAAGTGGCCCTCTGATAGCTCCCGCTTTGGCCCGACTCCCCGAGCTCCGAAGCACGGCTATCTCGACACAGATAAATCGCTGCCAAAATGCTCGTCTATACTATAGTATCAGAACCGGTATGACATGATACGGTAGGGGTAGACGAACCCTGGGTTCCAGAGCACTCGGCCTCTGGACCTTAGTAAGGTACTGAGGTTTGTGGGTGCCGTCTGCCCCTCTCGGGCAGGGAGCACTCGAACACAGGGATTAGAAGAAAAAAAATTGATGACCAGTCAACCTTGCGCACCCGCCCACGCAGACAAAATTAAACCCTCAATGTTCGGGCACTACTTCTTGCCCGGGACGAGTACATCAGCTTTTCTGCCACCACCACAGCTATTCCTTTCGCGATACCGAAACCGGTAGCATACTGTGATTATAGAGTTATTATAGCTGTATCACGCCGAGAACGAGGAGGTTGCAAACGATTCCCGAGCCTAGTGTAGACCGGACGTGGAAATCCGAGGAGAAGGAGTAGATGGAGGAGCGGGTGGATTCCTATATTGTACAGCATTGCGCACCGATGGCTCCACGTGAGCGCACTCATAGTCCGTATTTCGATTTGCCATGCATCAGATAGCCAGGCATCGGTCCGCTCCACGCACCCACCACGGCAACATGTACCTGAATAACGGCTTCACTACTACGGAACAGTAAAATCGTTTGTATCGGGAAAGACTTCATCAAGAGTGGCCGGTTGGTCAGTTAGCCCCAAATATTTGGTGTGTGTAGGAGCGTGGTGATATGCGGTGTTGATGTCTCGAGTTATGCTCGCAAATCGCTTGCTCTCCATTCTTGACCGTTCCAACCGATGAGAAAGCCAACCGTAAAAATGACAAATAGAAAAAGTTCCCACCAGCTAGCTTCGCGGTTCCATCATTGGTAATTGTAATGTCGCTCACTTTTTTTTACCTTACCATATGGGGGAAAACGGAAGGCGGCGGAGTCCCTTTTTTTTCCCCTCTCTTTCCCCTCTCCATCGCTTTCAACCTTTCAAGCGCAGGAGAGGGTAAGCAATTAGAACAATTAGAATATTTTAGCAGCTGGACTCCTCCGGTTGGAACTACCATATGTGGCACCCCAATCCCAGCCCAATCTCGCATTCTCTTATGCAGTGGAAGGAGCGCTCGACTTTTTGGGAAATGCATCAGCATATGCCCCGGGTTTAAGCGACCTGGATTACAAATCCTGGTCAATATGCAAAGAAAAGTGCGTCGCTGGGGGGAAAAACTTCTGGGTATTGTACAGTACTCGTACTGGTAACTGATATGGGGGAGCTTTTTTTTTTTTTTTTTTTTTTTAATTCCCCTCTTCTTTTCTCCCCTCCCTATCACCTCCTTCTCATAACTTGCTGTCGGCGATCTTTAGGATGTCGGTAGAAATCGGTGCCGTTAAAAAGCAAGCCCAACACCAGCAATGTTATAGTCGTAAGTTAATACTTAGAATGGCATTCCACTTTTGATGCTACACTCCTCGCTTTTTCTTTTTCGGATCCAGCCGGAATATGATAGCCCAAAGGTCATACCGTACGTATAGTACCGGGGGATGTTAAAATATTTTCGATAGAGCGCGCAGTAGCAGGGAGCAAAATCTCGACACCAAGGATCTCGAGCAGACGTGAATAGGAATGAAATCCTATCATCTCACTCGCTAATTCGTGGTGTTTAGCTAGAGGCTAGCTTTCCCCTCTCCACCATCTACCTTTTCCCTTCGCACGTTTCGCACGAGACGTGCCGGTGGGTGAGTATGGCATGTAGGCAAAGGAAACTGAACAGCAGTTTTAAGGGTCAAGACAGGCCTTCAAGATCCTCGAGTGAGACCCGATGTTCGGTGGAGGTGGCTTTCCCTTCCGCTATGGAGCACTGTAAAACGGTCGGGGCAGGGCAATCGGCGGACAAGGCCCCGAAATGTTTTCCAGTGGGGAGGGGGAATGGTCCAAGCCACTCAGACCGAGTGAAACTTAGTGCATGGGTGACATTTAGTGATAAGCGGTAAGGGGTGGGTGTGTATCCCGAGAAAGCAATCCCTGGACCTATCATTGACACGGCCTTTTCGCCGGCCTCTTTCCGTGTCGTGCCATTTCGCCGCGCGGTCCCGAGCCAAGGCACGAGCCGCAGCCCAGTCGCTGGGGGATTGGAGGGGGAGTGGGGGGGAGAAGAAAAAACCGACAGAAAGAGCCGGTTCGAAGGTGGCACGGTTCTCTTAGCGAAGATCCTGATGGCATAGCGCAGGCCAAGGGTTCTCTCCCCCCCAAAAAAAAAAAAAAAAAAAAAGCCAGGCTGTGGAACCGGGAGGCGATGGTGATCATACGCTTCCTCGAGACTTATTCGTTCCCGTAGGAGAGAGCTTCCCAGAACAAACCCGCGAGATACCGGTGGAGATTCATTTGTTTATCTCACGAAAAAAGAACTCCGTAGACTATTTCTTGATTACAATACCGTACCATATCGTCAAATTGAGTATTTCTGTGCAGACTATCCTGATTTATTCATTTTACTCAAGCAATCGCACTGCTCTGTTTGATAGTGAAACTTTTTGATCTTGCTCTCCAGACTTGATGCCATGCTTGTTGAGGCGGTCTAAGTGTTCCTCACCATACAAGTACTTAGGATGTGCGCATAAGTCTGTGGAAGTCGGGTATGGTTGTGACGAATGTTAATAACTTCTAAGAAAACCGAAGATCTGCTGCTGGATCAGAACCTGGAGGTTAATACTTACTCGTACCTACTACAAGTAGGACAAATAGGTTGCAGTCGCTGCGTGTTCTGTGGATGGCACAATACAAAGGTTATGGGTCAAGTCTTTGCACACACTAAATTTAGAAGCGTTGCTCAATACACGAGCCAGAAACCTTGCTACCCACACCCGGAGAATGTATCCACAAATCATACATCCATAATGTGGCCCGGACTGACAGCATAGCTCTTGCTACGGCCGTGTGATACCAAGTAACAAAATTATGGCAATTATGATACCCGCTTCACATGACCCGAGACCGCTACTCAAAAATCGAAACCGTCCGATGGGGGGAGAGGAGCGGGCGAGATGCTCCCTGCATATATCCGGTGACTCCACCGCCCCATTCCGATCCACCGTGCTCACCCACCGAGTCCCGCCCGTTTGACGAGTGATATCTCGTGAATGTGGATTTCTATTCGTTCCGATGCTCTCGAGACCGGCACTGACATTCGACATTCTTGCGCCAGGCTTTTTTGCCCTTTCGGGGAGGTCGCTTGCTGGTCATTGTGGGTTGTAGAGAGTTCAATGGAGGTGTGTTAAGTCTGTTGGTTAAGCTCTGCATGCAGAAGGGAAGAATGTGGGATAAAATTTCGGGTGGTGGGGTTACCCTGCTAGCTGGTCACATGATTTACAAAATTGACCCCCCCCCGAAAGGTGTGGCGTGGCAATACCTATCATCAATATCCTATCCGACAAGGCAGTGTCCTTCTCTCGGAATATTGGTGCCTGGAGCCTCCGTAAACCATATTTCGCACAGATCCCCCTCACCAGTTATCACAAAAAACCAAAATAAACTCCCGAGTGACGCAACATGATCACCTAATTAGCGACATGAATCTCTAAAGTACAACCCACCAACGAACTCCCGCTACCCCTGATCATCCCGAACATTGAAAGTCTAGCCGAATGTAAACTTAAAAATGTACAAAAATCAAACCAAATGCAACGAGAGGCAAAGTTCTGATTCCACAAAGGATATAGCGGCAAGAGAAAGGTAGGAGTTGGTAACAATGGGTGTAATAGTGAACGAGCGCACGGTATCAAGCGATATAGACTACCTTGTGAAGAGGTAAGAGTTGATACTCCCTTGCCCAGTCCCGGGTCCCGCGCTTTTCTTTTTACCCTTTGGCGCAGGCTTGGGCTTCGGCTTGGGATTCGGCTTGGGATTTGGCGCAGGCTCCTCTTCCGAAAAGGATTCCCACGCAGGCTCAAGCTTTGTGACTGTAAAGAAATGTCAGTCTGTGTGGGGGAGCGGGTAATAGGACAAATGCTCACCAAGATACCCATCCTCATCCTTAACTTGTACCTTTTTATTGACCTTTCTCCTCCCGCGTCTTCTACCGCCTTTGGTGACAGCGCTCACAACACTACCGGTAGGGAGTTCGACAGGCTCGTCTTCTGGCGGCTTTTGAACTTCTGGAACTTGTTTTTCCAACTCTTCTTCCTCCTCATTGCTCACATATTCCCTTACTCTCCTTTTAGGCTTAGCTTTGATATCTGTCAACTGTTAGCGCCCGGGAAACAATCAAGTTGGCAAGCACAAAACATTCCTTCATCATCACTCATCTCTATCATTTTAGTAAGTTCATCATCCCTCTCCCTTCTCTTTTTGACATCTTCAGCGGTATCTCTAAGGAGAGTAGGTTCAAAATCTTCCTCTTCCTCGCTACCAAGTTCCATTTTAACCGGGACTGAAATCACAAATGAGTATCCATCATGGTAATCGTAAGATGTGAGTATAACCAACCTTCTTCAGTTTTAGGACTATGCGCAGTTGAAGAAAGATTGGATTCCGCCTTCTTAATGGCAGCATTGCCCCATGAAGTGAACAGATAGAAGATCCCAGTTTCATCAGTGCAGCTTAAGTTGCCGATTGAGAACGCTTCATCTGAGTAGAAGTGGGCTTATTCTCTACCTTGGTCTCAGGTTCACGTTTCGCCTTAGTCTTTGTATCCGTTTTGACTTGGCCTCAACTCTTTCCTTAGTCTCAGCCTTCTCACTCGCCTTCGACACGGCCGCGGTAGCCACGGCATGCGGTATGGCTGGTGGCCTGTTCGGCCTCGGGGCTTTCTGTCACTCGGTTAGCACAAATTCAGTGCCAGTAACAAGGAGAAGGGACCCACAATCGCGGCACGATTAACTATCTTGCCCTAAATGCTTCCCGCAGCATGTTCATCCTCATAAATGAATTCCGCGCGAACCCTCTCCGAGCAAGCCGACGACACAGTCAAATCCTTAATCCTGCTCGGTCTAAGACTATGAACGTGAACTGTCTTGATGTTTTCGATTTCCGCTTTAACTTCTGAAACCCCCCCACATTAGCCACCCATCCACGCCCCCAAACCATCTTAGAGAAAAACAAGATGAAAAAATAAGAGAAAACAAACCTTCAAGTCTCTCCTCACCAATCAATTTGACAACCTTCTGATACTTAAACCCCTCCTTCTTTTCCCGCGGTGTAACCTCAAAGGGGCTCAAGTTCATATCCTCATCTTCGTCCTCATCATCATCACCATCCTCGGCCTCTTCAATGACCTTCCGCTCGCAAGTGATGATGTACGTAGCATGGATACTCTCATCCTTCTTCTTGTGACACTTGTGGAACTCGTAGAGCATCTGCTTCGCGACATTGGCATGCACTTCGAGTCTGCACGCTAGCATGCGGTAAGTGACCTTGAAATTTTGCCGCATTGTTAGCCACCGCGCACCCCCCGAAATTTAGCTAGCAAATCTTACGACTTCACATTCATCAATAATAGAAGACTCCGGGTATTTCTTAGAGTTACCCATTGTGAGCCCTCTGTTTCGGGGTCGAAGAAGCAAAGATTGGAAGGTGCTGTTGCTGGGATGGTTGGTTGGTTGGAGTGGCGAGGTAAATTGAAAATCTGGGTCGACGCGAGGGAGAATGCCAAGACATGATTCATCAATTTTCAGATACGTACTCGCGCGTTTCCGAGATGAAAAGCCTCACGACCTCTCACTCGACCTGAATTTGATGGTGGAAATCCACCACGGTGGAACCTCTGATTCTAAAAATAACTCGGGGGTGGATTCAAGCGAACGTGGAAGAAGGGGGGCGGTCTTGGCATAGGAAACCGGTGGTAACAGGGTGGGAACCAGGTGATATCACATGACACTGAATGGGGGATAAAAAATCTGCGTACAGTTACAGTATGGAGAACACACTGGTGCAGTATAATCAAAATGTTATTCTCTCAATCAACCGCAAATTCACATACTGCACCAGGCACACGATACGCCGCCGGACGGTGCCCTAACATAAGATACCACAACCCCACCCTGCAACCAGTCACACCAGCAACATCCACTAAAACACCTGCAGACCTTGGAAATGCAGAGCAGGGTATGGGGGAGGGGGGGGGGGCCGGGAATATAAGAAGACTATGAAACCTGGAACGTGGAGGTTGGAGAAGACATCGGTGTCAACGACGGTCGCTCCGACACGGATTGCACAGTGAGTTCGGTCTGGAACTCGCAGAAAACACTGTACAGTATCCGGGGGGTTGCCTAAAACCGGTGGATGGCCGGTGGTGATCTCGGATCATTCGACCGGACGATCACGATTTCTGGAAGGACAGAAATATAAGGTAACAGGATCAAGAATGATGACCAGGTGGTTTGGAGTTGGGGCGCCCAATTGAACAAGTAAGGATCAAACCAAGCCTAGAGGGAATTTTCGTTATCTCCAGGAACTCATAGAATTGGAATTTCTATTAAAAACTCGTTATTACCATGTTCTGGGGGTATTCGAACCGAAATCCTTGAGGGGAATAGATACAAATTTTGGGGGTAAACGGTGGATGTGTGATAGATGGCGTCGAATGTCACACCTCAATAGGTCATTCACTCTCACACAGTACCAAAATATCTACATAGCTAGAATTTATAATAGTCGGGTTGATCAAGTGAAAGTTGTCGAAATGACAATGCCCCTTCCGTTCTTTTTTTTACCCCCTTTGCCCCTTTCCTACTCCCCCACCGATCATGGATTCCAATCCTTTGGGATAATTCAGGTGTGGGGTCCTATCATACCGCAATAGCTCTCCATTTCAATCTTCTGGAATTTCTTAATTCCCCAATTCTACAGCACACAGTTCATGATTTGCTCATTGCGTCTGCCCTAACAGGAGGTGCTTGATCGGTTCTCGACTATCGCCGCCTGGGTAGGATGCGGTGGTTCGGTTTACCGACCGAATGGTGGGTGGACTACCCATCGCGATGTTAGAGAAATTGTGATTCCAAATCAATCTTAAATTAGGCCCGATATATGACTCTAGTAGATACTATGTGGTTATTATTATGGTGGTGATATCAGCTCACTAGATAAGTCACTCCAAAAAAAAAACCCATAATTCGGGGTTTCTTTCTCGGGGGGGGGGCGAAACACAGGCGAGTACCGGTATTCCTGGATAAAGGTGAGTGGCATATGGGATAGTACGGTGCGGTGCTGTACACCTACTGAACAAATCTGAGCCAGTATGGATCCTGCGAGACATTGGGTTAAATATACTGGTCGAGTGGATCGAATGATTCATGGACAGCCCTTCACGTGCGCTTCTTGGACAATACATCTGATTGTGTGAAGATAGAATTCCTGAGGACACCCCGCTCAGAGAGAAATATGAGTAACAGAATTGGGAAGTGAGTAACCTTCCAGTTCAGCTGGACAAACTGGCGGAACAGCATAACCTGGTGTAAAGGGTGAAGGACCCAGCCGAGAGGGTTCAGAGGCTCCGTGTATGAAAACAAACTATCAGATTTCACCAGTGATAATGTGATTACGGCAACAAGAAACTGATTCTCTGCCTCAAGATTAGATTTGTGGAGATAAGGCATGTCACTGTTATCCTTATCGCCTTCGCCCATGCATCCTGCCTGTAGGGGTTAGGGTTATTGGAGAGCTGCAGCAGTCGCTACCTGGTAATGTGTCCTGCAGTGAGATCTATACAGAGGTACAGCGTATAAGTTTTGTAGATTTTGCTAGCAGGGGTTTGCTGCCAGCAGGGGGGGCAAGTGCAATAAATCAGGTATAGTGGCTCGGCATACATGCCAAGGGCCTCAGGAAACAACTGAAATAGAAGTCATAGAGGTGTATTCTGTTTGAATGAAAATTTATTTAATATTTCGTGAAGAGGCCATTAGCCTCAATAACTGCCTGACACCGGGAAGGCATACTTTCGATCAGCTCTCTAAACTCATGCTACCCAACCATCCTCCAAGTTTCCTTGACTACATCCTGTAATCAATCATATGACATATTCTCAGGAAAATTATCTTGCAGATAATTTTTCATCATATGCCATACCTTCTCGATAGGATTCAAGTCAGGGGAGAAAGGTGGCCAATAGATAACCTCAATCCCTCTCTCCTAAAGCTCAGCAGTAGTATTTCCTACTACATGTCCCGGGGCCCCATCCTGCATAAGTTTTAAATAAATTCCATTATGCCAACAAAATTCTATATACACATGAATTACGGGCACAGTGTGTGCACAGTAACTTTCTGAGCTTATAGACCCCCAATCCTTCTCCCAAAATATCCCAGGATCTTGTATATCACTGTGAAAACAACCCCAAAACATCCATCCCCATTTTCTTTGATACTTTTCTACTATACATGTTGGATCACACTCCTCCCCAGCCCTCTTCGAAACCCAAGTCCTTATATGCCGCCCACCTGTGATCCATGTTTCATCTGTCCACAAGATAGAATTCCACTACTCACCAGTCCAGCCCACTTGCTCCTCAGCCCATTGGAGTCTTATAATATAGTTTCGTTCCATGATCGGTAGTTTTCGCATTACGAGGTGTCGGTGGAACCCTTCCCTTATCAATGCTGCTCGAATAGCAGTTCTCCCAACTCCAAAATCTAGCTCAACTGCTAGCTGCTTGTAAGAAAGACATCTGTTCCATATGGACAGGCATATGTAGGCGGCAAGATTCTCAACTTGTGCTTCAGTAAGCACTGGAGGCCGACCAAAATGCTTTTTGGGAGTGGTCGGACATGCATTATTGGAAGAGCATGCATAGCCAATTTGGCGAAGAGAGAACCCAGTGTGTTCCTGGATTTGAGCATATTTCCAGCCAATAGCATGCAGTAGTTGACAATCTCGACGCTGATCGCTGGTCAAATAGAACCCTTTCAGAGGTGGTGGGGGTGGGGGGATCACCGGCTCGGACACATCTCTTTGTTTGTATATAGTTAAGGCCCCTTGCGGTGAACTTACTAATAAATGTCTCTGACCCCAAGGATTTCCTCTGTGTTTGCTCAGCGTTTGCTTGAATAGAAGGAGTTGTGAAAAATCTTCACTCATACAAGCAGCCAAGTCACCATACTGGATTTGCTGCACTTATTCCAGCCTGTAGTACATCCCTGCTAGCAAAATCTACAAAACTTATACGCTGTACCTCCGTAAACCACACAAACTCTGTCAACCTTTTTTCCCATCACTTCAACTGCTAGAGCGACCCCTCCTCACCATGGCTGCACAAATCCTCACAAAAATCCATTAGGCATTTGAAACTCGCACCTGTAAGTTTCTTACATTCTCAAAGCTTGATCCAACTGTGTCCACTGAAATTCTCTATAATCTTCTCCATCAGAAAGATCTCAGTACCCTTAGCTTGAGGTGAGTACAAGTTCCAGGAGTCAAGTTTTCATACAGAGCAGTTTTATTTTGCAGGTTAACCTAAATTAACAGTTCTGATACTTTATCCCTATATCTTGTATATGCCTAGAATGAGGAAGAACGTACTAACTATTACCAGAATTCACTTTATTGCCCCCAACAGGTACCTCCGTGTTGTCACGCTGAGTCGCCTGCATGAAACTATGGTAGGCTGGATGCGAATTGAGTTCAGCTTGTAGACATGCTACGGCCTCCTTACACCAATCGCTTGCATCTTGCTAACAGATGCCATGATTAGTATGTCCCTTTTATCTACTGTATGGAACCTCCCCAGTCCATACGAATAATTGAATAGAATACGATACCTTTGTTGGTGCGTTCGCAGGCTCAAACAAGATACTGGATCTTTGTTATAGCCCCTGCATTAATGATGTACCAACTGAGTTTCCAACTATTGTCCTGGAAGTGGGGTGGAGTGAGTCACAGGCCCAGTTAGAATGTGACTACAAATTGTGGCTCGAAGGATCTGCTGGGGCTGTGAAGGTTGTTCTGTTGTTTAAATTATTCGCAGCAAATATAAACAATGAAATCAAGACTACTTTAACCATCTGCCGAGTTGTGGATGATGAACTTGTCATGGATCCATATACATGCTCTTCCCTTCCCTACTATATCTTTATCTTTCTTTCATCCTATTAATCAACTCCCTCATCTTGTAGGAAATATTCCCCCCTGGAGTCTATTCAAGATCCATTTATCACAGTGGAAGAGCTTTTTAGGGGGAGATATCCCATTGACTTAAACCCTCTAACTCTTTTTCTGTTGTCTCTGGTGCAGCTCCGCCATTTAGCTGGAGCAGAGATCCACAAACAGGGATATATTCCTATGGGCTACTAGTGCACTTAAACACCCTGTTACTGGTACTGAATTTTTGCTAACCGAGTGATAGAAAACCCCAAGGCCAGAGGATAAAAAGAAAAGCGCAGGACCTGGGACTGGGCAAGGGATCAACAAGTCTTACTTTTTCAAAAGGTAATCTATATCGCTTGATACCGTGCGCTCATTTATTACACCTATTGATACCCATTACTACTTTTCTTTTGCTGTTATATCCTGGGTGAAATCGGAAGTTTGCCTCTTGCATTTGGTTTGACCCCCGCGAATTTTCAAGTTTGCATTTGGCTAGACGT